CCCTTTCAAAGACCACCCGGTTATGATGATGATTTTTCTGATATCAAAATTGGTCTACGTCATTACACTCTCAACTTTCCCTTCGGATCAAACCAGTGGTCATAACTCACTAGGTTTGAAGGTCGTGGTGTGCCATGTTTTTGGAATCATTGCATGTGAGCTGCTCTTACTGGTTCTGCTCTCTCCAATCCAGTGCTTCATCATCAATGTGTCCTCACTTACCCTCGTACTGGCCATGTTCCTGTGCTACAAGCATCTGTTGAAACTATTCAATAATAATAATCATGTCACAGCACAAGGCACGGAAACTCTTCACAGTGATGCAGAGGAACAATCCGACGACACTATTGTCACCCTCAGGAACTGACTTAAAACGTGAGAAGGCATGATAAAGAGTTTGAAGATGACGAAGACGATGATGATTCACATTTGACGATCTTTATTAAATTTAATAATTTATAATTATTTCTCCCGCCGCATCGCGCCTCTTCCTATTATTGCATGTGGGTCTATCATCTGTGCATGTTGACGGGTACGAAACTCATTGTGAATCGTGAATAGTGTGGCTTTATTTGGATGACGAACCGCATTATGTTTGACTTGTATAGTCAAGACCTGTTAAAAGATCAGTGGAGTGTATTTCATTTTAATGTACATTTAATTTCCTCCATATATTCTTTTTCGCACAGCATTATTTTGACGAAAATTATTCTGATCTTATATGGTGTTCCAAAAGCTCGAAAGATGGGAAAGAAACTGGAAGGCCGTAAGAACCATTCCTAGAGTAGTGATCTTTATCTGGAGAACTTAGTCAAAGGCCATAGCAAGCAATGATGCTCTAGTTAGCATAGCCCCTCAAATCCCGAAGAAGCAATAGTGCAAAAGACTCAACATGGGGAGGAGGTAAGCAACTATGATGGTAGATACAGTACCTGCAATTATCAAAAATTCGGAGACACAATCAAAATGCATAAAATCTAATTGTGTAAACTAATACAATCACCTCCTGAATTAATATAATTGAAAATTGTGTTTTTCGAAATTCATTTTTTATTAAAATTTGGATTATTAATAAGTTAAACCTCGAGAGTTATGGACTATTCACTCACACGGCTGAGCAAATTGAGTTTCATTTCATCGTTTGCTTTCCAAGTGAAATAATTTTGTTTTTTTTTGAGTGACAAGGCAAATAATTTTTTCCCCTGTATGATTTGGCTTATCACTTGTGGGTCCCGGATGTCTAGTTTTTTCACTTTCTGTTCTTTCATTAGGTCATTAAAGTATTGGAGTTAATAGATGGTGTTATTATCTGCGTACCCTAAACGAAACTCATACACGGTTGATATTTTAAGTCGCTTCAAATTGCCGGTTTCATTCCCTCCCATCTTTTTTATAAGAAATCTAACTAATATTTGTAGATATTAAAAAAATTAATTAAGTTGATTATTTGAAATAAATGTGTTAATTTTTTAAAAAATATTTTTTCTAATTATATATATTGTTACTATCCATGATGAAAGTTTTAGGAACATTTTAGAAAAATATTATAAATTTAAAAAATAAAATGGATTGAGATCTTGTATTTGGAAGGATGAATTAATTAATATAATTAATATTATATATTATTAATAAAATACCATTTGGAAGTATCGAATATAATGTCTTATGAGATTTCCTACGAGGCACATTACTCTATAAGAAGCACTGGAGGGAGTACTCCGGTGGTTATATTTACAAGTCATGGAGAGGGTTTTTTTTTTTTTTCTTTTTTCAATCTCATTTATAAGTTATATTATTAAATATTTTTATATGAATATATAATTTTATTCTTCGCTTATTATAATGTACCACTCCGGTTCTTATTACAAGTCATTTGGAAAAAATTTTGTTTTTAAATATAAGTCATTTATATGTTATTTAATACTCCTCCGGTCCTTAATATAAGACCCATTTAACTAATTTGATCAGATTAAGGAAGTTAGGTAAGTTAGTTAATTATAAGAAAAATAACACATTTTTCCTAAAACACTATAATCATCTTTCTTAATACCCCTCTCCCTCTTCTACTTGATTATGGTTGAGGGAGTATCTATAGGGGTAATTTAGAGAAAATTGATAAATATAAAAAATGGGTCTTATATTTAGGATCAAAACCAACTCAAGAATTAGGTCCCATATTAAGAACCGGAGGAGTAATATTGTTTATTTTATCATTGTTTAATTCTTATTGAGGAAAACAAGAAAGAAAATAAAGGTTAAGCATTTTTTCTCTCTCGTAATTTCTCTTGTAGTAATCTTAGCCTCCCTTCTCTTTCTATTTCTTCCCCCCACTCCTCCTTGTTTCCCAACTTTATTTGAATAAATTATAAAAGCAATAAAATAATAAAGCGACATTTTGTGCCTCCAAAGTCCAAATGTTGGACCCAATTGAGTCATGAGTCATCCACCCACTTCATTGTCCCCGTATCTTTGTTACTCGTCCGGTTCTTATTATAGGACCCAATTTGACTTTTTATTTGGTCCTAATTATAAGACCCAATCCATTTTCTCTCTTATATTTATGCATTTTTTCCAAGATAATCCTTCTAATAATGATAGTTTTAGCCAATATACTTAATTAGCAAGGATATTTTAGGAATAACAACACTTATTTATTATAAATAACCGACTTAACTTACTTCCTTAATCTCCTCAAATAAATCAATTGGATCTTATAATTAGGACCGGAGGAGTACCTTTTTATCCCGCCACGCGTCACCAAATATTGGACCCAAGTCATCAGATTCTTCCAAGAAAATTGCTCAAGCCCAACTTGACAATATTTTACATTTTACTTTATCAGTGGGCAGACCAAATTGTATTAAATTCCAAAGCACAATCCTGGATCAATCGGCCCCAGTTATTTAGACCAATTTAACGTATAAATCAGTGAAGCTCCCAAATCCCGTTTTCTTTGTTTTGAACTTTTGAAGGCCCCTCATTCCGTGTTCCACGGTTTATTTTTCTCCAAAAGAAATTCATGGTTTTGGCATAAATTATTACTCATACGGTCTTTTTTTTTTTCACAATATATGTTTTCATCAAAACAATAATCACTTTTTTTCAAAAAATTAATTCGACTCATAAGAAACATATTTAAATCATGATTTCAGTAGGAAAATAAATTGTGCAAAGTTATCGAGTGTTTGGATTGGCCGTTTTGAAATAATGATGATTTTACTGTACCCTCTTGTTTCTTATTATAAAATCTAATTTTTTAATAGTTTTATCTCTTTTTATAAATTTTTTTTTAAATTTGTCTAAGTATTTAATAAAGTATTACCTATTTTATCCCTAATTTAATGTATTTAATATATTTTCTTTTTTTATTTATCTCACTATTACTCTCTTACACTTATCTATTTATATATAGGAGTATATTTAGAAAAAATAATATTTTCTACATATTAATTATTTTTAACTAATTTTAACTATTTTTTTTAAACCATATAATTTAATTAAAAAGACCTTATAACTATAACAAGAGGGGGTAGTTATCTAATCGATCAATTTCTTTACTTTCTGTAAAAGGCCGATGGGTGATGGGATGGGAGACAAATCACACCGGATCACGTCTCTTTCTTTGCGCAACTTGACGTTCCCTCGTACTTTCGCAGTATTTAAGGAGACATATGGTTACACAAGGGCTCATCCTCTAGCCGGATCCTTCCCATGCGCTTCTCCCAAGAGTCTCCATAACACCTCGTTGTCTCACAGTTTCATTGACCAGACACACACTGATTATTATTGGTATTAGACTGCAATTATGAGATATTTGGCCTCTAGGCTTCTTCGTGGCTTATCCGACACCCCAAATATTGGACCAATTCATGCTAGACAGCCCAAGTGAGTCATGATCAACTTCTTCTATTATTTTGTATTTCTCGTGTCTATAATATAAAATCTATTTAATTAATTTAATTAGATTAAAAAAGTTGAGCAAATTAGTTAATTATAAAAAATATGACGTGTTTTTTCTAAAATATTATAATCATCTTTCTTAATATCCTTTCCCCGTCTTTTATTTAATTATGGTTGAACGAGTATCCATATGGACAATTTAGAAAAAAATTAATAAATATAAAAAATAGATCTTATATTTAGAACTAAAATTAACTCAGCAATTAAATCATATATTAAGAATCGGAGGAGTATTATATTGGTTAGTTTATACATCTTTTCATTTCTTAATCTCTAACCCTTTGCTACACACACACACACATCATGTTTGTGAAGGGCTTCGGATTTGTTCCATCCCCCACAATTTATGCCTACCTAACTGGAATGCTTCTTGCTTTGGTTGAGATGAAGCATGAAGCATTGAGCAACCGCGCTTTCAAAGACCACATGGTTACGATGATGATTTTTCTGATATCAAAATTGGTCCTAATTATAAGAATTAGTTGACAAATTTGAAGAGATTAAGAAAAAAAACTAAATTAGTTATTTATCACAAAGAGGTGTTGTCTTTCCTAAAATATCCTTGCTAATCAAGTGTATTGGCTAGAACTACTATTGTTAGAACGATTACTTTGAAAAAAAATACATAAATATGAGATACAAAATGAATTAAGATCTTATATTTAAGACCAAAATAAAAATCAAACAAGATCCTATATTAAGGACCGGAGGTAGTAATAAAAATCAGTGGAGCATATTTTCATTTAATGTGTATTTAATTTCCTCCATAAAATCTTTTTCACACAGCATTTTTGACGAAAATTATTCTGATTTTATATGGTGTTCCAAAAACTCGAAAGATGGGAAAGAAACTGGAAGGCAAGAGCCATTCCCAAGGCAGTGAACTTCATCTGGAGAACTTTGTCAAAGGCCATAGCAAGCAATGATGCTCTACTTAATATAGCCCCTCAAATCCTGAAGAAGCAATAATGCAAAAGACTCAACATGGGGAGGACGTAAGCAACTAAGATGTTAGCCACAGAAGCTGCAATTATCAAAAATTCGGAGACACAATCAAAATGCATAAAATCTAATTGTATAAACTAATACAATCACCTTCTGAATTAATATAATTGAAAATTCTGTTTCCTGAAATTCATTTTTCATTAGAGTTCGGATTATTAAGAAGTTAAACTTCGAAATTCTCCCTTTATAGTAAAAAAAATCAGGCAAGTAAAATGTTACTTGTGTAATTAATCATCATCCACCATCTCTTTGTCGGCTAAATGATTCGTTTGGCTCTAAAATCCTTCAGCCAAGGAAAACCAATTCAGCACCTTATTATCTTTTACACTTTGTTTCTTTTTCCTTGGTCACTTCGATATATTCTTCATATCAAGGAAACCTTGTACTGAACATGCACCTGAAACAGAGAGCCTCGATAGAGCTATACAAGGCATTGAATTTACAGACGAGAATAGGTCAAAGCTTCTTCCAGAGGACATGATCCTCGTACTCCTTTTGTATACAAGACACTGTACAGCAGGCTTAGCAGTTTCTGACACTCATCAAGGAACTGTCCACAGAGAGTTTACACACAATTCGTGAGAAATTGACAAGAGGCCATTACTAAAGACGAAAATCCATTATGATAGATCTTAGAGATTTAATATTGTTCTCGGAAAAACCCATTTTTGAGCACCACCTTATTCCCTATTATTTTTTTCCTATGCCGGGGATTAAGGTGAATTTAACAATATTAATTTGCAGTTGACTCAGCCATTTGTAAGTACAGACTCTAGAAATAACACAGCGGCCATTCCCCTCCTAAGAAAAATCCAGAAAATAATGCAAGTTCAAGATAAATGTAACAAGGTATTATACTCACCAGGTTCATCAAAATTTACTCTGTCTCCAGTAGAGAAGAGGATGTAGAAAAGAGCAGAAAGAAAATATAGGAGTGATGTAAGCAACAGAAACCCTTGGAAAGATCCAATCAGATCAACAAAAAAACCAGTTCCAACTGTTCCGATTATAGCCGCCAATGTTCCAGCAGTGAGTGCCAATCCTAGAAAAAAGATCAGAAAAACCCTTGTTGGCAACATATTATTCCGGAGTGCAGGAAATTGTTTTAATTGAACTCTTCCAAAGTTTTGCACCTGTTATACACTATCCTGCCATACATTTACAATTTTTCTACAACATACAAATAATGATCACGAAGTACAGGTTTGTTTATGGATTAAAAAAGTTATAAAATCACATCATATGGATGTTTATGGGATCATTACAAAAATCTTACCGTGTATAACACCAGAATACTGTGGCGCAATCTCCTGTAATATGAAGGAAGTGGATATTAGGCTGTAGTGAGAAGATTATAATACCTGGAAACAATATATTATAATAATATTGAAAATAAAAACCTGAATGTTCACAAGGAAACCGAAGTGGCTGAAAGATTTCAAGCCAAATGCCAAAGTCAGCCAAGCAGAAGCAATTGACGGAATTTTGGCTTTTACCAAACCGATGAGACATAATCCAGGACCAACGAAACCAATGGACTGCAGTGAAAAAACACAAGCAGCATTGTCCACATGAACTTACACACATTGGGAAGATTGAAAATTAACAGACATAAAGAGAGGGGAAGAAAAGAGAGCATCAAAGATCAATGAATTTAAAATTAGAGAATAGCAACCAAAAATTTCTTGTTTCAGAAAACATCCTGTTGCCCCAAACTCCAACACCAAAGACAGATCCAAGATCAAAAGATGGCAATCTAGCAAGAGTATAATTGAAAGTTTAATGGAATCACCAAATAAAAAAGAAAGTTTTGCCGGTTCAGTATGACCACAAAATATCTATTTTAAGTAAATCAGAAATAAATTATCATACTTCTTCATAATAAACCTCTCCACTATATTTTACTTACTTGCATGATATTGCGAGTTAAAGTGACACTTATACCACTTTGTATCATCATGTCTGACCACAAGCCAGCAACATAATTCATGATAGCCATCAGAACCCATGGAACAGCACTAAACCATGCTGCATGTCTGAGATCCACACGATATACCTGTGATTGAAGGTTATGCATAATGGTTCAAAAAATATTCATTTCAACATAATTTCCAATGCATGCTTGCCAGCAAAAATTACAATTCTATAAAAATAATGAGACTTACCGAGTTGAAGTATATGGGCATCCAAGAAAGAAAAACAAAAAATCCCTGTGAAATAAGGAAAACAAACAGAGTCAAATTTTGAAAAGAACAAGGCATTTTTGATAAAAGAATAGTTACAAAATGGCATGATACTGTCTTGCAGACAATTCTTTCAATATAGATAATCTGCACTAATATCTACTCCTTTTGACCTTGCCATCGTCTCTTTTTCAAAAAAAGATTCCGTTAGATTATTCTTCTCTAGGAATTAAGTGGGTTGTGGGGAATGGGAACAAAAGTAAAGATTACTTCAGGGCCACATTTGGTACGAAGAGAGCCTTGTGAAGGGAGCGGGAAATAGATAAGAAAATGGATGAGGAAAGGGAGAGGGGTTTGCTGGAAAGTACACAAATCATGTTGGGTAGGAGATGAAAAAAAATAAGGAAAACGATATGTTCTATAGTTTGGCATAAATAAATTAGAAAGGGAAAGGGCATTTCCACTAGTGGGCGGGAAAGCGAGAACTCACCCTTGAACAAGGGAGTATGACATTCCCAAGTGAAAAGGTTTGCTTTATACCAATCACAAGGGGAAAAAGGACACTTCATCACCTTTTCCCCTTTCCCTGGACCCTATCTCTCTTTACATGTACAAAACACAGCCTAAGAAGTAAGACTAGGTAATCCCGCATGAATGTAGCACTGGCAAATTTTATGTCAACTCGAGTGATTATAAACTCCAACTTAATAACACTATAAGCAAGAGTCTGTTAATAGGTAAATGCAATAGATGTGAAGTATTACCCAGCTGTGCATGCCATTTGCAACAAGTAAGGACCATGTTGGCAGCTTTGAAAGCAAACGCCTGAAAGGAGGAGTCACTTTAACTTTACTTCCACTGGGTTTTATTGTATCTACATCAAAGGCTTTTTTCCTTTTATTCAGTATATACTCCAACTCATATTTTGATATCTGAGGACTTCGACCTGGAGTGCTTGATGTTGCTGATAACCACACCAGAACCCAAAGAAACCCTGACAATCCAAAAATTACAAATGGTCCAAATATACCACCTTTTGACATAAGTATTGGTGAAAGCGTGAGCCCTATTGCAGACCCAAATTGAAACCCAGCCATTGCAATTCCGACAGCTCTTGACCTTTCTGTTTGAGGAAACCACCTAAAGGGAAGAATGAAACCGGTCATTATTCTCTAATTCAGCCTTGTTGCTTCAACAATTTCTCATAATTTCAGTACCAATAATAAACAAAGGGTCATGTCATATCCACTGAAACATTAATCCTAGTGATCATCCCAAAACGAACGTTGTAAACAATCAATAGCCAATACCTCGCCACCATGTTATTCATGGAAGGAAGAGCCACTCCTTCCGCTATGCCCAGCAAAGCACGAACGGCAAGCAGTGCCCACAAGGAAGTCTCTGCAGCCCAGGGAGTAAGAAAAGTAGCCAGCGACCACAGAGCCACACCCCAAGCCATGACCACTTTGCCACCATAGTTATCTACTAATACCCCTCCGGCTATAGGTGAAACCAGATACCCCCAAAGAAAAGCTGACTGTCCAAAAGTATGAGTCAAACAATAAGTACGAGGCAGCGAAGACTCTCACAGGCAATTCTTCGAGTATCTGAAACGCACCTGAACAATTCCAGCGAACGAACGGCTCCAACCGTTAGCAAGCGACAACGGCACGATAGCCACCGACATGACTACACGATCAGCATTGCAAAGCGCAAGAGCTAAAGCAAGCATCGCCACCACTTTGACCCTCTCCGAAGTAATGAACTCAGCGAAATTCGGCTGCTGGCCATGCGGCACCTGCTCGTCCTCAGGAAGCGAGTTGAATTGGGCATTTTCGGACGAAACCTTAAGTCGGGGAAGAGAAAGAACGCGGTTGAAAGCAGTTGAGGAATTCCAAGATTGAATTTTGTGACTGAAAAACGAGTCCACGGTTTTGGGTGCTAATAAACTCGAAGAGACGAGATGAGCTTTTGGTGATCGAAGGGAGATTGGTCCGGTATGAATTCTAGAGCGTCCGATAGGTTTCAGATCGATTGGTCCATCGGGTAAGAAGGCAGAGGGAGGGAGCACGGAGGACATCGAGGCGGCGCAAACAGTAACGTAGCAAGCGGTGGTGTTTTTTACCCGCGGGAGGGTCCAGTTGGCGAGCTCTACTACCAACGAACCTCCGAATAACACCTCGTGCCTTTTTCTTCCTTTTTTTTTTTTTCTCCCAAGAAAAGAAAGATTTGGAAAAGTAAAATCAATTAATATTTTCTGGCCTGAATATTATTAATATTACTAAGAAATGTCGGTAAAAATTTATTATTATTTGTAAATTTAGTGTTGTCAAAACTAAATAACTAAATAAAGTGTTATTACCAGATTTGATTTAAAATTTACTACTTTCAGTTTCTTCTTTTTTACCATTTTTCCTGTAATTTAAGCATAGAAATTGTACAAAATGGTTCAACTAAAACAGAAATTGTAACAAATGGCATTGTTTGTAAATAATATGGCTCATTTTCACTTTAAAGAAATAAAAAGAGGAAGAAGACAAAAGGCGAACAGCAGAAGAAGCTCACTCTTGTCCATAGGAAATCGCATTAATTATTTTGGCCTAAAAAATTTAGTCTTATCTTTTATTTTGCCAGCAAAAACTTAGTGTTTTCCACAACTTATAATGATGGTAATTCATTTATTTTCAGATTTCATACAAGGTACTTACACTTGTTTTAATTATAAATCATAAAAATATATTATTATTAATAATTTTTACAAGTTTAAGTCTTTTTGGGCCAAAATAAATATGAGCTATATTTTTTAAAATTATAACCTAATGCTTTTAATATTACCTTAGTGAAAAAGGATAACCAAAAGGTCTACGCTTTAAGAATAACATTCTTTCAGTCTTAAATATGTCTAACACTACAAAATAAGTCTTATATTTAAGACTGTAGGAGTAGTAAAGTTAAGTTAATTGTTAAAAAATTACCAAAAATTAATGTTTTAGTTTTTAAACCTTTAATTTACTTATAGCTAAATCTCTTAACTATAATTCAGTATAATTCAGCTCCTACAATTTTGACTTGTTTATGATTATCTTTTTAGTTTTTATATCACCATCCTTGTTATCTGTAACTCAATGATGACTCATCTTATGTGATCCCAACTCAGTTCCACGTGGTTTTTTTATATATAAAATTTAAACAAAAAAAATGAAGGAGTGGAGATGACGGAAAGGAGTTCCAGATGATAAGCTTCAAAGGTTCCACCAAAACTCTTCTTCATGTCCTTCATAAGGAGTTTTTGAATCAGAACCCCAACATGTGTGCTTACATATGGCTCCTTATTGGACGAATATCAAGATATAATGACAATGGAGGTGCGTAATCTTGGAAAAAAAGCCAACGCTTTGCATAGCTAATCTATCTCTCCATCCTCTGGGCTAAAAAAGCAAGTCTCATAAACTGTGGACTATGGATCTAGGAAGCTCTCTGAAAAACACCTGCAAGCAAGCTGCAGCTAGAAGATATGAGTTCTCTTCTGATCCATATTCAATCAGTAATGATGCCTCATCTATATCACAAATCATACAAGTGCAAATTAAATGGGCAATCATAAGCACACATTGTCTCTTCGCAACAAAACTTGTTAACGAAAGAGAGAAGCTCAAAAACAATGTTCAGGAAAATAAAATTAACTTTTTTGCCCTAGTGAATATCTTGTTGGGAATCCATCTGCCAACAGCCTTTACTATTTCTACAGAAATATCCCAGATGCTGAGAAAAACTTGTCTTATCTCTTCTTGATTCTATAGAGCCACCAAAATGTATCTTAATTTTTCAATGTAAACTTGATTCTTCCATGGAGTGCGGGAAGAACATAGAGGAGAGCTTAGTGGGAGCTTTGAATCCCATTGGCATTAGCATCACAGTTGATGGGAATTCCAGAACTCCACTTCATCCTTTCGGCTCCTTCACTCTTTCGTTAAAGGGGATGTTTGGGAACTTTGTTTTTTAAAAGTATTTTTTCGTACATCGAGATAAATTTATTCACATATTTATTTCATATACCATAAAATTACTTTTAAAACTATGGTTTGATTTCTATTCAAATACCTTTTAAATTTACTTAAGAATGCCATGTGGAGTTGAGTAGGAGCCACATATGAAAATTACAAAGACAAGAGATTAAGGCGAGTCAAAAGTTTCTCGGATTATAATTGATGAATTGAGTTATAAGTAAGTTAAAAATTAAAAAATTAATTTTTTTAAAGAAAATTAATTACAACAAAAGTTAATTTATGACTTATTCTCTGGAGGGGAGGGGGGACTGGGATGACCTCGTGCTCCCCTAAGCGTGATGGTATTATAATACGATACCGAGGATCTTTTTTTCGCGCGCCGGAATATGATATTGATACCGAGTGTCTCGGGTACGTAAAATGCTGTAATAAAGGGCAAATGCATTAAGACAAATTACCAATAAATATTAAAAATATTCTTAAAATTTGAATATGAAGATTTGAGTTTACTTCATATCATGTTCATGCAATAAAGCAATATTATATAGAGTTTACTAATGAAACAAAATTTAAGTCGTTTTAAACCATGAAAAAAGTGAATCAATTGACACACATTAGTTGATTGTACCAAACAAAAATAAATTCCCAAAATTAACTCGGTGTTTGGCTAAGGAGGCTTTTTCCGTCAAGGAAAATTTAGTGATTAGTTTTTGTAGAATAAATAATATATTAAAAAATCATATGTTTTGATTTGTTTTGAAATAATTATCGCCAAAGCAAATTTGAAATATCAACTTACATGGTCTAAATTAAAATTAAACTATTACTTTTGGTCCTTAATATAAGATCTCGTTTAATTTTTATTTTGGTCCTAATTATAAGATCACAATTTATTTTGTCTCTCATATTTATACTTTTTTTTTTCCTAAAGTAGTCCTTTTAATAATAGTAGTTTTAACTAATACACTTAATTAGTAAGGATATTTTAGGAAAGATGAGTCATATTTATTATAAATAACTAATTTAACTTCTTTCCTTAATTTCTTCAAATTAGTCAACTACTAGCTCTTATAATTAGGACCAGAGGTAGTATTCAGAATTAATATTCTTTTATTTTTAAATAACTTTAATACTTAATAGTTTGCATTTCAAATTAATTGTAGAATTTAAAACAAACACAACGCCAATTTATTTTTTTAATAATTATCCATCCCAATTAAACAAAAATTAAATTTGGATTATTAAAATTAGATTTCAAGTGTTGAAATTTCGTAATGATGATAAACAATGTGGTCCTGATATGAAGCCGGACCCATGTGTGATTAGGTTACCACGTTGGGATGTAGGATATTGATATTAGAATCTCTATATTTATATATTCACCTCGCCTCAATAAATGCAGATTTTGTTTCTTTCTTGATCAACTCAGGCATCCTAAGTGGCTAAGAAGCCTCTGAGTTGATTAATTTTTGATTGAGTGGGAAAAAGGATTAATAAATGCATGATTCAAGCTGTTAATGGTGTCGAATTAATGGAAATTATTGGATAACGAAAAAAGTAGTGGCAGGCATGGAGGTTTATCAAGGGTTTCCTTCATCAACAATTTCCTCGCTACTTTCTTTCTCACTTCACTGAGTCCCACTGAACCTGCTCCTCTCTCTCTCTCTCTACTCATTCTGTCCTCCACTTGCCTTCTTCATCTATCATGCTCTCACCCTTTATTCTTCTACAAATCTTCCCTTCCCAGCCATGACTGTTTCTTCCAAATCCCACCGTCTTTCTAGCTGCCACCGCCATCCCGCCAAGCCCGTCACCGGTTTCTGCGCCTCCTGTCTCCGGGAACGTCTCGCCGGCATTGAGTCCTCTTCCGGCCATGGGTACTCCGACCAAGAGGTTCAGCTTGCCCCTCAGCTCCGTCGCACCAAATCTTGCTGCGGTAGCGGGCAGGCGGCTTTTGCCCCTGCCATTTCGGAGCCTCGTCGGAGGTCCTGTGAGGTTCGGGCACGGAGCACGCTGTGGGATCTCTTTAATCGTGATGACGAGAAGAAGGGCCTGAATCGGAAGTTTGAGGTGGAATTGGGAAGCTTGAGTTATGAAATACGGGAGGAGGAGCAGTTTGGGGATGCGAATGAAGCAGTTAGGGTTTGTGGGGATAGTTTTGTTGGTGTTACGGACGGAGGAGATGAAGTTAATGACGAGGAGGAGACGAAGACGATGAAGGAGTTTATAGATCTTGAATTGCAGGGTGGGAAAAATGCAGGGAGAGATTTTAGAGATATTGCGGGGAGTTTCTGGGAGGCAGCTTCGGCCTTTAGCAAGAAACTGAGGAAATGGAGGCGAAAGCAGAAGATAAAGAAACATAATGGCTCTGATCATAATGCGGACGTTGGTTTGACAGGACTGAAGGTTGAGAAGCCGAGAAACAGAAGATTGAGGGAGACTCAATCTGAGGTTGGGGAATATGGGTTGGGAAGAAGATCTTGTGATACTGATCCAAGGTTATCACTTGATGCAGGTAGAATGTCTCTGGATGATTCGCGGCTTTCGCTTGATGTGCCTCGAGCTTCTTGGGACGGATATTTAATCGGGAAGGCATGTCCTAGGCTTTCGCCAATGATATCAGTTGTGGAGGATGCTAATTTCTCTGTTAATGTGACTGAAAATAGAGTTCATGAAGAGAAAGTGAATCTGGAAGGTGCTGGAGAGTCGAATCCTGGTGGATCAGCTCAGACCAAAGATTACTATTCGGATTCTTTGTCATGGCAACAGCGGAGAAGGAGTTTTGATAGATCAAGCTCTCGGAAACCAGCCATACCAGAGGTTGATGAATTAAAACTGATATCTAATGCCAAAGTATCTCCTGCTACCACAGAGTTATTCTACGGGGCAAAAGTTGCTGATCACAGAGAAAGAACTAATGGACAGGGGTTTGAAATCTCCGAATAATGTTCAAACTGATCCTGTACTGGGATCTACATCGGAGGATACTTCTGACGCTGCTACTGGAGTTGACCAAAAGGGCCTCAGGAAGCTCCCAAACTGGCGCAAGATGTGGAATAAGTTGGGCATTGTACAGAAGAAGAAGGAAAATAAGTTAGAAGAAGAGGATGGCGCTGGAGATC